GGCGAGGGATGTCAAGTTCAAAAGTCACGTGGGCATCGGCGAATGAGGACACGGGAACAACCAATGGAACCGCCCGACGGAATAACTAATCGCGGTCAAAGGTCATCCTCGGCTACCAACACGTATATCAACACACACGTAACACTACTGAACGCACAACCACTAACCCACCGTTACGCACAACTACGCACTGATGATGTCACCTCGATTGGTGATGAAACGTTTGCAACCAAATTGCCCAGCTCAGCGAACAAGCCAACGACCATAAATACGGCAGTTTGTCCTGCGAAATTCGATATTGGATCGATCGATCGAGAAAAGAGCAAACAGAAGAATTTCTGACTCCATGGTTCCAGCAACAGTGGCTGTCACTCTTCAGGGAACGATGGAAACGAGAGCAATGTTTAGCATGGAAACTGATTTATGTCTAGCTATGTCGGTTTCCGTCACGAAGAGACTGGACCTTACCGTGGTGTGACGGTTTGCGCACCTCAGCGATCCATTGAGCTATACTGAGGAGTGTCCCGCGACACTCACAGAGTCTCTCATACCAGGTTGGTCAATGGTTAGAGGTCTGACGAACACAGTCTCCTGGTCCTCTAGGTTGGGGTTTGGAACATATGGCGACTTGTTCCGTAGAAATGGTAATGCATTTGCATTTTTCCGCCAAACACCGCTGCCTTGCGGTTAGGCTTTTGAGCCAAAGGCTTTGGTTGAGGACCCTAATCGTCCTCCTGTTTAGGTGTGGGCGCCCTGGCAATATCCCAGCCCACGCACAACCATGAGCTGCACATACGCAGTAGGATTTTAGAGTATTCGTGAGTTTACTTCGCCACTGATCGCTATTAATTCTTGTACACTTACTCAAGTCCAGGTCTTGAGAAATGCCGTGTTCCACACCCGAGAAAAAAGTGCGGCAATTTGAGTTGGGTTCTGTTCAAAAATACTCTACGCCACATAGCTCAATTGTTTTAAGTCTGCTAAGTTGTGAACAAGGACTACAGAGTTAGATTGGGGCTGTGATTGATTCGAATCAATGTATTGATATGGAGAGATCCCAGCGTCTAGGGCACGAAATTACTGACCGTAAGGTCCATGAGTGGAACTCAATTTTCAACGTTACGTTTTCTTTTTGGGGCGCTCAGTGACTGTTGTGGACCACAGTCTCCTTAATACCTTCTTATTACCGTGAACCTCGGTCTGGATAGCCGAGTAATAGCCTGGTGCGCTTGACCAAACCAGAAAAAGACAATGAACGTGCGAGCCAGCTGCTCTGTTGATCACTGTTGCGGGCCAAAAAAATTGATAGTAAGAAAACAACTCATCTGTCAAGGGCGAGTGAAGAACAACCAATAAAATCTGTCTCAACGAAACCGGTTATTCCATTGGCTGTTATGTAGCCCCGTTACGTTCAGGGAGATGGTTCTCCTATTAGCCAGTCGGACAGTATCTCAGTCTTCATGCTTTCTTCTGCTCGCGTGGTAGAAAGGCACCGAAAGTGTTACAGATATCACCAGAAATGAATTAATTTTTCACGGATAAGAACCACAAAATTTGATCATGGGTCACACAAGAAGAGCTCGAAAGTAATTGTGACAGACTGCAGCACCGCGATAATGTTGTCTTTACCTCGAAATAGAACGACCGATTCCAGGATTTTATGAAGTCTGTTCGAATCTAATGTCTTTGAGTACTTTGATCATCATCATCATCATCATGAACCGGCGACCCAGTGACAGTTTAAGCAGATGTTCTGCTTCAGTTCGCGTTCTGCTCACCCGCCACTTTCACACTTAACATTTCACTGTCCCGAATTCGCCTATGATTGATCTCGGTTCGGTTGCGGAACGACATATAACGTTTTCTGCCTCTACAAGCCTATCAAATTTGTCACGTTTCCCTGCTTCTGTATTATGGCTTGATAAGTAAGATGGGACTCGCTGACAAGCTGATCGGTTGATCGAAACAACCAACAAGGTTACTGATTCTTCGTTCGAGGTATTCGACCAAACAAGCACATGAACACATTCCGGAGAGTTTAGTGTGGGCCAAAGAAGTTCACACGGCAGGGACTTAGATCCCCGGCACCACCAATGATATGCACTGTTAATGAGCTGCAGTAAGACCTGAGTCGTGTGCTTCCCTCCTGTATGCCGGGGGGGCGACTGATATGGGCACTAGTAAAAGCATAATATTCAACTTGACTAGACCATATATATAAAGAAATAAAGACATTGTCTTGTTTTCTAGTTTCAATCCTGAAAGAAAGACGTGAAATTTTTGAAAATTTCTCTTCCTTCATCGTCCTTGAGACATCAGGAAAGTTCCACTGGAATTCGTGATCTTGAGAACACCAACTCATTTGTTCATTCACTTAGTGTAATAAAAAACTAGAGTTATACATCTGTTGCGTGATTACCACTTTATTCTACACGGTTGGTAGTTTTGCTTTGTAATTGCGATCCCTCCCGTCTGTGAGACCAATCTATTCTGAAAAGCCTGCAGCTTTTCTGCTTTTTTGTCGGTAGCCGTCAGTACTGCGTATCTGAAGTAACTCAGTAAACCATTCGGCATGTAGCAGCTGAACAAAAGTGTGATTGACACTCATTCAGACAGGATGAAGCGCCAATCATCCTTCAGTCAGAGAAACTCAGATCACATGATCACACACTAACTGGTACCTCGAGTGACACTTGTAAAATTATTCTTCCTCTCAGCCAATTACGGACTGATCCCTTGTCCAGGGGGCAAGCCATCTGAGCGTATTGTTTGATGCCAATGCGTGGGCGTTGACTGTGAATCAACTAAATCAGATATCAAATGAATATAAGAGCTCACATTCTTGCAACGAAAGTGTGAACAGCGGTGTATGTGGAAATAACTGAACAGTGCCAGTGATATCCAACTGAGACTAGCTCATTAGGATACATCCCAGTGTGCGAAGAGCGCAAGCACTTTATGGATCAAATGGCTGTTGGTCTGTTCGTTTAGCCTAACAAGTTACTTGCAAGTGTTTCGTCACCATTCTAGGAGATATCACCATTGCGCTGTTTATTGAGTAGTTTGTTTCTGTCCCCAAGCTTTCACTTGTATATTTTGCAGAGAGCAGAATAAAACTACAATCTGATTGGCTAGTGGTGACGATCGAATCTGGAATCTGATTGGTCTGATCGGGATCGGCGATTACAAGACCTCACCAGAAAAATACATGGTAATTTCACAGCATTCTTCTTTGGAAACTCCTTCTGTTTCCGTGGATTAGCATTATAACGATGCTAAGAAAAACGGCGCCATACTTACCTTTCCCAGTCTGTCTAGCAAATGCCACTCTGAAAGTATGATGATGACCAACAGTGATCGCTAAATATTGATTTTTCTAGGAATACCCGATAATTTTTAAGAAATTTTGGTCAGAAACACTGTTTCATCTGTGGACAGTCGTTGAAGGTTAACGAATTCAGATAAAATACCTTGATAATAGAAACCAGGAGAGTTGGATGCACAACGGCATAGAACAGACAAGGAGTCACCTGATTTGAAAGATGACCAGCTATCCTTACAAAGTGACCGGAAGGCAGCTCACCTACCGGTGTTATTTAGTATCGCGGCTAAAGCTACTTCTAGGAGGCAAAATTTATGAAATTCTGGGGGTTTCCAGAGGCGTGGATGGATGTATGTACGGACTTCGTGGATGGATGCATCATAGGTACGGACTTATGGAATACGGGTAGTGTGAAGAGATCTAGGAATATCTATGGAGAGTTCGCCTGTAATTGAAACCAATCGGTGCTGAGGCATTGTACAGTTTCCGTCAACCTTATGTTCTACTTGAAACCAAATTGGACTGCCTTCTGATGATGAGCCCCAAGAGGAGCAAAACTGGTCTTGGGGTGACGGAGAGTTTTCAGCAACCTTGTGAGTAGTTTCCTTCACGAAAATATACTGCGATATCTCGTGCCATGATGCGGCCTGTGTGCAGCACATTCGGTTGTAGAATACGGCAAACGAGAGATTCAGTTGAGTCTCTCGTGAAAACCAAATTGGTTCGCAAATGAGTGTACTTCTCGAAAGGAAGGAAACTCTTCAAGTTGTTCCGGATAATCTGGTCGTTAGTATCCTGTGATCTGACCCCTCTGAAGCGTGAATTCAGTTCATTCCAATATCCATATGGTTCTGGCAATCTCCATCAAAGTGAACTTGGTAGAAATGATTTATCCACGTCTATACTGTTTTAAAAACGCAGCGGGCATGAAAGCACTTCACCGGATGTGAGCTTCTGTAATCAGAATTGACAGGATAGGAAAATATCAATGGAAAGACAGAGCAAAGCAAGTGATATACGCACACGGTTTTTTAAATGCGTTTCTGAGTTGGAATTGGTAACCAAAGTCCACTGTTAATCTTTCAGTTTTCTCATATTGTGGGCAAACTTACGGTCCATGTAATAATTGGGATGTAAAAATCTATTGTTTACCGATTGGTGGACTACGAGTTTAACGGTGACACTACTGATGGGAGCGTGCGAGTAGTATGTTTTCCCGTAAATCCGCTTTGCGTCTATTGAAAAGTGAGATCCATTACGGAATTTGTGGAGTACCTTGTGGCACTCGATCGAAATTCAGTAACAATCAATGAATATCTAGGAAAGTTCAGGAAGACTCGTTGAACTCGTTAAGCAAGACACATATGAGAGTTTTGCTCCACTGTCCAACAGTTTGCAACTGTTCAGTTGACATTTTATAATGAATAACTCCGATTCGAATTTCTTCTTCCTCTCGCTGGTATCAGACTGAAAAGCTGATCGATAAATGCTATGTATACTTTTGCCATTTATTCACGACTTTATAAAAGAAAATATGATTATTCGTTGTAATTTTTCTTTATTTTTCGAAGTTGGATCATGGAATTTGCGTAATTCTATAGAGGAGAATATCGGTAGCTAAGGTAGCGTAGATGGTGGTCGTTGGCTTGTTTGCTGAGCTGGGTAATTTGGTTGCAAACGTTTCATCACCAATCGAGGTGACATCATCAGTGCGTAGTTGTGCGTAACGGTGGGTTAGTTGTTGTGGGTAATTAAGGGACACCACAAAGTATTGTACTGCGGATCACAAAACTTGTCGCACATCCCATTTCGGCCTTCAAACTGAAAACGAACCCCATAGATTTGAGCGGCTTTTGACGTGCTTCATCTCTGCGTTATCTCTTTACCTGCATGTTCCTGCATCTGATCTTCAACGACCAAATTCTGATTACCTTATATGCTCATCGACTCAACCATCATTATGAGCGTCATTCAGCTTCTTGATGTTTTGCCGCACCGTGTTTTCTTGGTAGACATTCAGACCGGACGAATCACATCAAATCACACACCGGAATAATTCAATTTGGGTTTAAGTAGAACATAATGTTGACGAAAACTGGGAGACTGCGCCTACCTGACGAGCCCCAAGAAGGGCGAAATCGGTCGTGGACTGTCGAAGAGTTTCCAGAACACTTGTGAGTAGTTTCCTTTATGAAAACACATCCGAGGTAGTTTTATACACCATGATTGCACCATTTCTTGGCTAAAATCGTATATTGGTAATGATTTGGAATATTGGTACTCGTAAACAAAAATCCAGATAGATTTTTCCGGGTCATTCCTCTCGCAAAAACACGATGACATTTCTTTGAGAAAAACAGCAGTGACCGTAGAAGACAAACATTTTCGTCGGAATCAGCCTACATCTAAGCAGCCAGGTTGTTTACCAACCTCTTCCACGGGGAAACCGCAAAAGAGCGCAGATGCAAAAATAACCTGATATGATCGCGCGTTTGTTACCGGATTTGGGCAGTAGCAGTCTCTGTTACGAATTGGCCGATGAAAAATTCCACGTCGGCCCAAAAATAGTTTGACCGCTGTCGTACAACACATGTTTCTTGGAGTCCGGTGATCCCACCTTTCCAACATACAATGCACTTAAAGGTTCAACGAGTGTGGTTTGACGTTTCTATCAAAGCCTACAGGAAGCGGTTAGGTGAGTCGATGTCCCACTGAAGTCAAGAAATCATCTGAACTTTCTTCGGAATTCAGCAGAGGCTACCTAAAGTAGTCTCGTTCGCTGTCTACAACAGATTCTTCGCGGATATCTTCATTGGGCAAGTAGTTGATACAATGGTATTTTGATGCTAGCCGTTAGTTTGATCGGTAGGGGGCGTGTTCTTGAGAACTTGCAACAAGTTCACACCTACTTGTTCTCGGCATTCCGTGCAAAATGGCGCTCGGAATCCGATTGGTTCAAATGGGGGAAAGGATTCATCCAATCAGAGTTATCACATCCTCAAAAATTAATGTGAATATCGATCCGACAACCCCCGCGACTATCCATAAAACCTAGAGATTCTGAAAGCAACGCTATATC